GCCGAACAGTTCCAGGAGCAGTTCCCAGTGGCGGTCGATGTGCTTGTGCAGGCTTGCCTGGACTCAAAGCTGGTGGTCTCAGGAAAGTCAGCGCTCCTCACAAACTGCGGCGTGACCAAGCAGTACATCGCGAAGCACCTCAAAGGCAAGGGCATCAGCACCAAGACTCCCAAGTTCGTCAAAGACCTGGGCATAGATGCGGCACTGGGAAGGCAGCGCGTCACAGCCACGCGAACTACCAGGACTAAGCAGGCAAAGCTACGCGCAAAGCGTGCCAGGATCTTCAGCAAGCAGAAGGGCAAATGGCGGCGAAGAGCGGCGATGCTCTTCAATTCCAACCTGAGAGCCACGCAGAGCTACGATTGGCCAGTTACAGGGCTCAGTCCAAATGCAGTGCGTGAAGCGCGAGCTCAGGCGGCAGAGATGGTTGGATTTACAACTGGCGGCAGATGCACATCAACAATCAATATCGTATTCTACGGCGAGAACGAGCCAGCTACGGCATGCCTGCAGCGACAAATACGTGAATGGGTACAGATGTGGCAAAAGGATACCTCGGCGCATCAACGGCTAAGACAAGGATGGCAAGCTATTATCGAACGTCTGGCCCAGATGCGAACCCGTGGAAAGTTGAAATCAGTGACAGGACCAATGGGGGCACTTATTCTCTCATTGCAACAGCTGGGGTGGAATCCACGAATGCCAGATGAATGGGAGGATGCAAGTGGCGAGACGTGGAGGTTCCAGAGTGAGGGGGTGCTCGACTTTCGCGACATCATGAAGTCCATCACCAGGGACATGCAAGCTCAGCTCTGGACCAAAGCAGCGGACCACTACTACGGTAAGGGCATGCAGCACGGGATGGACACCACCATGCTCAAGAAGACGCTCCAGAAACTACGTAAAGCTGACCGGGTCCAATAATCAGGTGCATTAGAAGCACTTGCTTGTGGCACCATATGGACAGGACAACGATGCAAAGCAGCAAGATACCAGACAGATGGAGTTTGTCCGCGCAGTACTAAGGCGCCGGACACGCTGAAGCACAGGATCTACGAGTGCGAAATGAACGACAACCTCCAGATAGACGCGGTGGTCAAGTCACAGTCGTTATGTCGGAAGGCCTTAGAGGAGACGCACGACAACCCAGAGACGGATGCATACTGGCTACGAGGGCTACTCCCCAAGCACAGGAATCCTGTACCTGATCCACCAGCATGGGGTGACTGGAATGGCAGCTACTGGACGACAACAACAAGAGGGCCCAAAGTAATAGCAAGCAATTTGGTTACGATTGATCCCATTCAGTGCAGCATGGCCTTCGTAGATGGATCAGGTACCAGCAACGACATGCGCATCAATAGAGTGGGATGGGGCCTCACATTACAGCTGCGAGATGAACGATGGAAACGGCCAGGGCAAGCACACATGTGGTGCCCCAACGCCCTCGAGGCACAAGGGAGCCCAACCGAATTGTGCCATGAAGCGGGGACTATTGCACCAACGGACACAGAAGCGGAGGAGCAGAGAAAGGGCATCATGCACGACCTTGGCGTATGGGCAGCTACATGGACGGTATACATCGACCTAGACGAGACCAGGAACCAAGCTAATTGGAAGATGTGGTGTGAACCGTACATGGAAAGTTACCTGCGTCAACCAGAACAAGCAGCACTACGACAACTACTCAAAGCAAGATACCAGGTCCGAAGCACGAGCCAGGTCGCGAAGGACCTTTGTGATATGCAATGGATGGAGATCGTCCAAGAAGGAGCGGAGAGACGTGTACGAGTATTCCCTCACCCTTACGGGCTGGGAAAGAGAAGCATACATATCCCACTGGTTCGACAGCGTAGCAGACATCAAGGCCAAGTTCCGCGAACTGTTGCAAGACCGAGCACCCACCTTCGACCAGGACATGCCTGAAAATTATGAAGACAATGAGGAGGACCGACCAGCAGCCAGGCATGTGGTGGCCCACGAGATCTACAAGGCCAGTCTGCCGAGCGACAACACGGGCTTCATTGAAGGCACAGACCATATCGGTTTCTATGGCACCGTAGATGGAGAACAAAGTGTACCTGCTGCCGAACATGCAAGACTCTTCTGGGCACTGGCGCTGACGCGAGGCCCGTTATTGATCATCACGGACTGCCAGATGGTGATGAATGGCTGGACCCTCAAGTACTACGAGCAGCCCCAAGGTGCTCAGCGACCATGGTGGGAAAGGATAAAACTTATGCTCTGCAGGCGTTCTGGCGGGGTGTATGGAGTAAGAGTCCAGAAATGCCTATCCCACCTCGACGGTGAAGCGGTTAAGCAGGCTGGTCAGGAGTTCCACATCAGCATGGGCAATGAGATGGCGGATACGCTAGCGCAGCGTGGAACAGAAGAGGCAATTGCAGAAATACGGCAAGAGGTCAAGGCGTTGGTGGAAGTGGAAACTACGCTTATGAGGGCCCAAAGGAGGGCAGCAGCGATAATCCACGAGGTGTGCAAGGATGCGGACCCCACCAAGCTTGAGAGGCCCAAACAGATGCCTAAGAAAATAGCAAAGGAAAGAAGAGACCAGATCGAAACGGAGTCGGGCCACAGAATGCGAAAGAAGAAAGGGCAATGGGTATGCCAAGAGTGCTGGCTAACCCCAGGCAAGTACAGCGTGGTCGACTGGATGAAGGCTAACGCGTGCATCGGAAGGCAGTACGAGACACACCGAGCAGATCATGGACATGCAGTCCGTGCTCCCAACAACGAACTGATCGAGATCAAAGACAAAGTGATCCACGACAGCCACAGCATTGCAGTGGCCCATGGGCAGTTCTGGTGCTGGAGCTGTGCTGCGGTGGCTTCGCACAACGACTACGGACACGGCAGAGTGAACCTACTGGCAACGGAGTGCAGGAATAAGATCACGCAGAGCGGGACTACTGTACTTCGGCGGCTACGACAAGGGTTACCACCAAAGGCTGGCCAGAATTGGCCAGATGGGACGATCCCGCCAAACGGCGGGCGGATACCACGTGTTGCAGCGGGGCGACGACCTCGTGGTTGATTTCATGGCACGGGGCTACGGCCCCGCAGAGATACTCTGGCATGGAGTGCCAGTGGGGTGGACGCCCGCCCTGTTCAGGGGGTGGGGTCGCGACCCCTGAGAGCTACTCTGGCCTGGAGTGCCAGTGGGGTGGACGCCCGCCCTGTTCAGGGGGTGGGGTCGCGACCCCTGAGAGCCCGCGCGGCATGCGCGGGCGGGGGCCGCGGCGGCCGAGTCGACCGCGGAGCCCCTCGCTCGAATGTCCTCGAATGTCCTCCTCCTCCTCCTCCTCCTCCTCCTCCTCCTCCTCCTCCCCCTACGCCTCAACATACAAAAAAAAAAAAAAAAAAAAAAAAAAAAAAAAAAACGCAAGCTGGGTTTTGGCGCAAGCCGAGTTTGGCTCGCTGGCTCGTGCTGTGATGTTTCTGGTCATACATTGGTCTGTGTCAGCTTGCTCAGCGCTACTGTGGTCATCCACGGTGCCTGACCTGCCGAGGCTCTCTGTTTTGCTCCCCTTCCCTCTCCTCCTCCTCCTCCTCTCCTCCCTCCTCCTCCTCCTCCTCCTCCTCCTCCTCCTCCTCTCCTCCTCCCCTGCTTCTCCTCCTCCTCCTCTTCTCTTCCTCCTCCTCCCCCTCCCCTCCTCCTCCTCTCCTCCGCCTCCTCCTTCTCCTCCTCATCATCATCGTCCCTCCTCCTCCTCCTCCTCCTCCTCCTCCTCCTCCTCCTCCTCCCCCTCCTCCCGCTCTCCTTCGCTCGTGCTCGCAAGGGCTTCTGCGCGAGCGCCGCCTACACAGGTCGGCTCGCACACGCGCGAGTTTTGTTGGGCATTGTCCCTCCCTCGTCCTCTCCTCTTTCCTCCTTTTCCTGCTCCTCCTCGTCCTCCTCCTCCTCCTCTTTCATCGTGTCCCTCTGGGCCTCTCGGCGCTGCGTGTTGGGGATATCGTTGGCCTTCCAGGCCGCGGGAGATATCCTTTGCATGCAAAGCGACTGCATTGCCAGTTCGTTGACCAGGCCACGGTTCATAGCATGAGTGTGCCTATTGCAGGTCGGCTTGTGCGGTGTTCCTGATTTGCCCAGCGACGTTTTGAATCGCGATGTGGCAAGGTCACCAGTACACATGCTCTTGAAGTGGCCCAGGCCAGAATTTCCAGGCGCTTGTGGAAATTCATGCGTGACTGTTGGGGCGCCCCGCGTGACTTTTACGCAGCTCCACAAATCATTGAACAGCATTGTGGTCTTCAAAGGTTTCCCCCGCGGGGAAAGGAAACGAACTGACCCTAGGAGCCCTCTAGTAAGAGGATGGTCCCCGAGACTGCCAAGATGCCACCAATAGGGAGGCCCCAGGAGGCCTCCAAGAGGACCTCCAGAAACACCCAACAGTTCCCCAAGAAGTGCCAAGAAGCCTCCAAAAGGCCCGCACGATACATCCCATACAAGAGGGTTCTGACCCGCAACCCAAGCATGGTGGCACGATGGGCCGAAGGCCACTCCTCTCTTGCAATATGCCTGGGATGGTGTGTGACACGTTGAGAGAAGAGTCAGCATCAATGTCTCAGATACCCCTTGCCCTTAGATTCTAGAAGCTTCCACGGGGTTTCTGCCAAGAAGGGAGTTTCTCACTCACGGTAGCGGCTTTACACAGGCAATGCGTTCTCGCCCCCATTAGAGCAAACTGCGGCGATGGCAAGCAACAGCTGTAGGAGTCTAAATCAGCACAGCAATCGCAGTCCATGCACCGACGAAATCCCACCAACCCTCTCTTCACCGACAGCAAAAGCGCAACGGTTGCCTAATCGCACTGCTCCCTGCAGCCATGAAATCCAAAGCGAGCGTGAACATAACGATTGCGAACACTAGCACCATGGTTGCCATTGTCATTGCAACTGCCATTACCAAAACTGACCCACGATTTTCGATGCGGATGATGCTGTACTCTGTGCTGCTGCGCAGCTGCTGCCCCGCCCCCCACAGGAATTAACGAGCCAAGGGTAAACATTACCCAGATCGGATCTCGTAATTTGCCCCACCTGGCCACATCAATACACCACCAAAGCTCAAGAACCGGCGAAGAGAGGCACGCACAAGCGAAGAGGAGAGGAGTGCATATGGAAGTTAACTGTAATGTGTGAAGATCCACCGACATCCGAATTTATTACGTAGCACCCCACAATTGCGGATAAGAGTGAGGGGGCAGGCGCGGGCGACGCGGGCGTCGAGCCGGCGGACTTCGTGGCCCTCACCTTCCCTGTCGATGGCGCCCTCCTCCTCCTCCTGCTCCTCCTCCTCCTCCTCCTCCTCCTCTTCCTCGTCCGCGTCATCGTCCTCATCGTCGTCGTCGTCGTCGTCGTCCACCTCCTCCTCTTCCTCCTTTTCCCCCTCCTCCTCTTCCTCCCCCATCCCGATCCTCCCCCCGCCTCCTTTCCGTCGTTGTCGTCCTCCTCCTCCTCCTCCCCCTCCTCCTCCCTCCTTTCTCGTCGTACCCCTCCGTCCCCCCCTCCTTTTCCTCCTCGCCCTCGTCGTCGGCCTCCTCTTCGTCCTCGTACTCGTCGTCGTCGTCGTCTGCCTCCTCCTGCTCCGCGCCCTGCTCCTCCTCCCCTCCTCCGCGGAGCGCGCGCGCGCGCTGGGGGGGTGGGTCGCGGGCTTGTTCAGTGAACGTAATTACTTTGGGTCGCGGGTGGGTCGCGGGCTCTCCACCTCCACCTGGAAGGAATTCAAAAGCAGTCCGCCGCAGGCGCCGAAAATTTTGATTTGTACACTGAACGCGGTTTGGGTCGCGGGTGGGTCGCCGGTTCTCCACTTGGAACGACTGCAAAAGAAGCCCGCCGCAGGAGCCGAAAATTTTAGGTGGGTCGCGGGGTGGGTCGCGGGTGGGTCGCGGGTGGGTCGCGGTGGGTCGCGGGTGGGTCCGGGCGCGGTTTGGGTCGCGGGTGGGTCGCAGGTTCTCCACCTGGAACGAACGTATGCAGAAGAAACCCGCCGCAGGCGCCGAAAATTATGGGTGGGTAGCGGAGTGGGTCGCGGGTGGGTCGCGGGTGGGTCGCGGTGGGTCGCGGGTGGGTCGCGGGTGGGTCGCGGGTGGGTCGCGGGGTGGGTCGCGGTTTGGGTCGCGGGTGGGTCGCGGGTGGGTCGCGGGTGGGACGACGACAACAACAAACAACAAACAACAAACAACAAATAACAAAGAACAAACAACAACATCGACATCAACAACAACAACAACAACAACAACAACAACAACAACAACAACAACGACAACAACGAGAATCCGCATCACGGAATTCCACTTCTGCCACGCACCCAGGGACAGTGAATGACCGTTCGGCTCAGCCCCCTCACTCTGATGTGCGTGCTGGCGTAATCCAGTGGCCATTTGCACTGGGATGCAATTTGTGTTGAGGAGAAGGAGACGGGAGCGGGCAACGATACTATACACGACTCATGTTCGTCGCAAGGCTGTCCTGCGAACGTGGCCGAAACTCCGGCCAGGGATTCGGACAAAAATGGGATCGGGCCTCGCCACGAGTACGTTGCTGCTTGCTGTAGGCGCCGACACTGGGATGCAACGCGGGCCCTCGCGGAGCAGCGGAAGAACATCCAGACCGAGTGCGCGCCGCAGCACTCCAGTGACCATGAGACTGAGAATAGATGTGTGATGCCTGGTCGGGGCGGTGCCCATCTTACAGACTTGCACATACCACTTCGGTGATGATACCGAATGTCATCCTCGAGCCTTTTTTTGTCAGGGCAGCGCAACCAGATGTGACAAGCTTGGTCACCCTCGGCTTGTCACTTGCAACATACATCTGTGAAAGAGTGAAACTGGAGAGGGAGGAGGAGGAGGAGGAGGAGGAGGAGGAGGAGGAGGAGGAGGAGGGAGTCGACGACGACCACGAAGAGGGAGGGACTCTATGCTGCCTATGCTGCTCTTCTGCTGCTCTGTGCGTGGGACTCAGAGGGCGCCGACAAAGCATGCTGGAGAAAGGTGTACGCACGTCGACACAAACCAACGGTGGGTGGTGTTTCTACACGTGCTGGTGTCGGGGATCTCTTTCCACGTCATCCTCTCAATGGGATCTCCTTCCACGTCAGCCTCTCGATCAGAAACCTGCGCCGTCTCCTCCTGTCCGCTACACATCCTCCTCCCTTACTTGTTCAACGTCCTCGTCCTCCCTGTTCCATCTTTCATGTATACAGACCTGCTCTCTTGAAGAGGACAGAAGGAAGGGAGAGAGAGAGAGAGAGAGAGAGCGAGAGACGATGGAAAAGAGAGAGAGAGAGAGAGAAAGATAGAGTGAGATAGTGAGAGACATGTATTGTTGTTGTTTCTTTTTCTCTCGTTCTATCTCTACCTTCCATCCTCGCCGCTCTCCCTCCGCCTTCCCTACATACATTTCCTTTTCTACCTCTCGCATCCCACACGCTACCGCACACTTCCCTCTCAGTCTCTCTATCCCTCTCCCCTCTTTCCGCTTCGTGCCCTGCCAGGCGATGGCACCCGCGCGCAACTCGACACATTGATGATTCCAAAATGCCAGCAGCCGAGCGGCGAAAGCGGCGACCGACACTCGACTCGGCGGCGCGCATGGGGGGAAGTGAGAAGAGGCGGGCCGTCTCAGCTCGGAAGTCCCTTGGTCTTCTGAGACATGCATCCCCGAGTGCACAAACAACTTCTCAGAAGGCCGGCGGGTGTCTGAGAAGCCGCACCGCGTTCTGAGAGGGCCCTCTGCTTCTCACTTCCCCCCCCTCGCCAGCCGTCGAGACGAACACTGGCGGCGTTGACAATGGGTATGCCGATCCTAACCACGCATGGCAAAAGACGTGCTCCCTACACCCATTCCCACATGGCTTTGTCGTAGGGGTAGATGTGATACCTAAGGAAGCCGCGGGGGACGTACCAGGGGCCTCCCCGTCCCGGATCTCACGGTCGCATCGTGCAATCTTCATGCGTCTCCCATTCCCTTTAATCGCAATCATATTCACCTTCACTAGTTCCCTCTTCCTCCTTCTCCTCCGCCGCCCCCCTCCTCCACCAACTCCTTGGACTATTCCGCCTCCTCTTCGTAATTATCCCTCCGTTCGTACCCCAAGATCCCCTCATACCGACCTGGCTCCCGCAATACATACGCAGTGCAGCCATGTATTATGATTTGTGTGTGGGGGGCGCCTCCTGCGCCGCAGCCCTGGAGCTCGACCTATGATATAGCTCAGCCTCGCGTGCAATTTTTACATTCCGCATGCAAGCGGGCGCGGCTGAGGCGCGTGCGTGCGGCGGGGGCGAGTCCACGGCCGTGACTCCTCCTTCGTACACTCAAAGGTGTGCAGTGATGAGCCGAGATCAGATAACGAAACCATGTGCCATACCATCTGCGCGCGTGCGCGAAAAGCACTCGAGGAAACACCCAATGAAGAACCTGAGGAATCCCGGGCCAGCATTTAAGCCAAGGTGACAAGTAGTAAAAGGTTACGGCCTTCGATGTCACTACGAGCGACGCATACCGCCACACAACTATGTGAAACACTGCATCAGCATATAATGAGCGCTACGAGTTCTGATGCTACCTAGCGCTACTACAGATCGAGCTGCACCTGCTGCCACTGCTGCAACTACGAAAACCACGCTCGCGAATATGCATTCGCCGTTGCGTTCGCGATGTCATTGGGTTCTGCTTCGTTGCATCCACCACCCAAACGACGCCTATTGCGACTCCTACGGGCAATGAGACTACTACTACAACTACTAATACAACCACTACTAAGACTTCTACGGCTACTACTACTACTGCTGCTACTACTACTACTACTACTACTCCTACTACTACTAGTACTACTAGTACTAATACTAACAATCGTCGTAGTAGATCTACTAATACTACTGCTACTATAGCTACAACTGCTACTGTTACTAGTACTACGACTGCTGCTACTACTACTATTACTACTTCTCATACGACAACAAATAAAACTACACATGCTACGACGGCTCTTACTACTACTACTACTACTACCACTACTACTACTACTACTACTACTATTACTACTACTATTACTACTACTACTACCACTACTACTACTACTACTACTACTACTACGACTACTATGACGACTACAGCTACTACTACTACTACTACTACTACTAATACTAATACAACCACTACTACTACTACTACTACTACTGCTACTACTACTACTACTAATACTACTACTACTACTAATACCACCACTGCAGCTAGTAATAAAACTACGACTATTACCACTACTACTACTACTACTCCTACTACTATTACTTCTACTACTACTACTACTACTACTGCTACTCCTACAACATTCACTATTACTAGTCGTGCTACTACTAGGACTACCACCACCACCACTACTACTACTACTACTACTACTACTACTACTACTGCTACGACTACTACTACTACTACTACTACCACGACTACGACTACGACTACTACTAGTACTACTACTACTACTACTACTACTACTACTACTACCACTCGACCAGTGCAACTAGTACTACAACTACTACTGCTGCCACTCTTACTACAACTACGGCCAGTACTACCACTACTACCACTACTACTAATACTACTGCCACTACTACTGCTACTACTACTACTACTACTACTACTACTACTACTACTACTAGTTGTACTACTACTACTGATACTACTGCTAGTACAACAGCCACTACGACCACTACTATTACTACTACTACTACTACTACTATTACTACTACTACTACTACTACTACTACTACTACTACTACTACCACTATTACAACCACTTCTAATACTACTACTAGTACTACTACTACTACTACTACTACTACTACTACTACTACTACTACTACTACGACGACCACTACTACTACAACTACGGCTACGACTACTACTACTACAAATGCGACTGCTACTACCATAAAACTACTCATACTCCTATCCTTATTCCTTATTAGAATATACTCCTACTCCCCCCTCAGGCCGGCCATTAGGGGCCGCATCCGGGTGGTCCCATCCTAACCTGTAAAAAACAATACAAAATCAACATTTTTCTTATTTTTTCCTCTCGACATGGACGTCCTGTCGTCCACGGCGATAATCCATTGCAAAAAATACCACAAAGAGCACACGCGCGCGTTCATGTCAGAATCCTACCGAACACCGTGTGTTTGCAAGCATTTCAACATAAAAACATCAAAAACCCAATGCTTTTTTTTTCTCACAAAAATTGTACAAATTTCCCGCCCGGGCTCTCTTGCTGAAATCATAGGAAAACCATAGGAATCTTAAGAATTCGGTCAAATCCAGCGATTTCACGTCATCGCGCGGTGCACTCGCGATGCTCTGTCATGACCCAGGCCGCGAATCCTGTGCAAAAAATGCCACAAAGAGCACACTCGCGCGTTCATGTCAGAATCCTACCGAACACCCTGTGTTTGCAAGCATTTCAACATAAAAACATCAAAAACCCAATGCTTTTTCACAAAAGTGCTTTGGGGTGTCCTGTCAGACCGTCGGGCTTCCTCCGGCCACCTCTGGCTTCCTGCGGTGTACCGGGCCATTCTCGACTCGTCTGGCAATGCGTGCGCGGCATTCAACACGCGCTCGCCAGTTCCCGTCGGCAACCGCCATCGCGGCCGCATCAGCTGTACCAAACCGGCTGGCCGGTGTGACTTCGGCCCCCAGTTGTGCCAGCTTTGCTTCTTATGTTGTGGGAGGGCGGGTGGGACTGGGCATGCCATGCTTGACTCGCTCGAGCTGGCTAGCTTGACTCCTACTCCTACTCCTACTCCTACTCCTACTACTACTACTACTACTACTACTACTACTACTACTACTACTACTACTACTACTACTACTACTACTACTACGACTACTACCTACAAGTGCTATTGTCACCACTACCATCGATGCGAGTTCGACTACGAACACGACGCTCCGAACCGCACTACTGCTACTACTATTACTGACACTGGCACTGCGACGGAAGTACTCATACGACTGCACATGCGAAAGACAGTGCTAGTACTAATCCGACTACCCCTGGTACGAACCATGGTACTACTACTACGACGTCAAATGCTGCTACGAATACGGCGACAACAACAACACGTACAATTATTACAGAACAGACTACAACAACTACTACTACTATTCTTACTACTGCTACCACTACTGCTACGGCGACTACAATCGCGACTGCACTACATCTACTTCAACAACTATAACTAGTACTACGACTGCTACTCCTAGTCCTACCCCTACTACTCCTACGGCGACCAATGCTACTACTAAGTACGTTTATACTGATACTGTCGCTGCTACTGCGACTGCTACTACTACTACTAATAATAATACTACTACTATTACAATTACTACTACTACGACTTCTTCGACTACGACTACGACTACGACTACTACGACTACTACGGCTACTACTACTACTACTACTACTACGACGACCACTACTACTACTACTACTACTGCTACTACTGCTACTGCTACTACTACTACTACAACTACTACTACGACTACTGCGACGACTACTACTACGACTACTACTACGACTACTACTACGACTACTACTACTACTACGGCTACTACGACTACGACTACGACTACTACTACTACTACTGCTACTACTACTACTACTACAACTACTACTACTACTACTACTACTACTACTACTACGGCTACGACGAGGACGACGAGGACGAGGACGGCTACGACGGATACGACCACGAATCCTATAAACACTTCTGCGAGGAGTCGTAGTAGTCGTACTAGTAGTAGTAGAAGTAATAGTAATAGTGGTAGTAAACGTAATCACATTGGTACACGTAGTAATAGTACTAGTCGTAGTAGTCGTAGTAGTCGTAGTAGTAGTAGTAGTACAAGTAGTACTAGTAGTAGTAGTAGTAGTAGTAGTAGTCGTAGTACTAGTAGTCGTAGTAGTAGTCGTAGTAGTAGTAGTAGTAGTAGTCGTAGTCGTATTCGTAGTAGAAGTAATAGAAATACGATTGCCACCACGACTACTACAACGGCTACTACTACGACTACCACTACTACTACTACTACATATACGACTACTACGACGACGACGACGACGACGACTACTACTACTACTACAACGGCTACGACGAGGATGACGACGGCTACGACGGATACGACCACGAATCCAATAACCAATTCTGCGAGGAGTAGTAGTAGTTGTTGTAGTAGTAGAAGTAGTACTAGTAGTAGTAGTAGTAGTAGTAGTAGTAGTAGTAGTAGTAGTAGTAGTAGTTGTAGTAGTAGTAGTAGTAGTAGTAGTAGTCGTAGTAGTAGTAGTAGTAGTCGTAGTAGTGGTAGTCGTAGTAGTCGTAGTAATAGTAGTAGAAGTAGTAGGAATAGTAGTAGTAGTGGTAGTAGTAGTAGTAGTAGTAGTAGTCGCAGTGGTAGTAGTAGTAGTAGTAGTAGTAGTAGTAGTAGTGGTAGCAGTAGTGTTTCTATTACTTCTACTACTCATACGACGACTATTACTATTACTACTACTACTACTACTACTACTACTACTACTACTGCTAGTGCTACTACTACTACTACCACCACTACTACTACTACTACTACTACTACTACTACGACTACAACTACTACTAAGGCGACTACTACTACTACTACCACTACTACTACTACTTCTACTACTACTACTACTACTACTACTACTACTATTATTACGAGTGCCAATATAATTACGTTTACTACTACCACGACTACTACTACTACTACTACTACTACTAAAACTACTACTACTACTACTACTACTACTACTACTACTACTACTACTACTACTACTACTACTACTACTACTACTACTACTACTACTACTACGACTACTACTACTACGACTACTGCAGT